CTCAGGAGGCTGAGGAGGGAGGATTCCATGAGCCCAGGAATTTGAGGCTGCAGTGAGATATGATAGTGCCACTGTACTCCAACTGAGGTGACAGACCCTGGCTCTAAAATTAAAAAAAAAATAGACCAGGTGCAGTGGCTCATGCCTGTAATCTCAGCACTTTGGGAGGCTAAGGCGGGTAGATGATGAGGTCAAGAGATCGAGACCATCCTGGCCAACATGGTGAAACCCTGTCTCTACTAAAAATAGAAAAATTAGCCAGGCGTAGTGGCGTGTGCCTGTAATCCCAGCTACTTGGGAGGCTGAGTCAGGAGAATCATTTGAACCTGGGAGGTGGGGGCTGCAGTGAGCGGAGATTGTGCCACTGCACTACAGCTTGGCGACAGAGCAAAATTCTGTCTCAAAAAAAAAAAGCCAGGCACTGTGGCTCATGCCTGTAATCCCAGCACTTTGGGAGGCTGAGGTGGGCAGATCACCTGAACAAGGAGAAACCCCTTCTCTACTAAAACTACAAAAGTAGTCAGGTGTGGTGGCACATACATGTAATCCTAGCTTCTCAGGAGGCTAAGACAGAAGAATCACTTAAACCCAGAAGGCAGAGGTTGCAGTGAGCCAAGATTGTGTCATTGCACTCCAGCCTGGGCAACAAGAGCAAAACTGGCCGGGCGTGGTGGCTCACGCCTGTAATCCTAGCACTTTGGGAGGCCGAGGTGGGTGGATCACCTGAGGTCAGGAGTTCAAAACCAGCTTGGCCATCATGGTGAAACCCCATCTTTAAAGAAACATAAATTAAGAAAGAAAAAAAAAAGCAAAAGCCTATCTCATTAAAAAATAAAAATCATAATATGAGATTGGATAAATATGGTGCCTTTAGGCCTCCTGTGGTGGCACACACCTGTAATCCAGCACTTTGGGAGGCCAAGGCGGGTGGATCACTTGAGATCAGGAGTTTGAGACCAGCCTGGTCAACAGGGCAAATCCCTGTCTCTACCAAAAATACAAAAATCTGCTGGGTGTGGTGGCACCTGCCTGTAGTCCCAGCTACCCAGGAGGCTGAGGTGGAAGATTCACTTGAACCCAAAAGGTCAAGGCTACACTAAGCCATGTTTGTGCCACTGCACTCCAGCCTGGAGTGAGATTCTGTCACACACACACACACACACACACAGAAATAAGAAATAAATAGCTGGGCTCAGTGGCTCACAACTGTAGTCCCAGCAGTTTGGGAGGCCAGAGTGGGCAGATTACCAGGTCAGGAGTTCGAGACCAGCCTGGCCAACATAGTGAAACCCTGTCTCTACTGAAAATACAAAAAATCAGATGGGTGTGGTGGTACACGCCTGTAGTCCCAGCTATTCGGGAGGCCGAGGTGGAAGAATCGCTTTAACCTGGGAGGTGGAGGTTGCAGTGGACCGAGACCATGCCATTGCACCCCAGCCTGGGCAACAGAGTGAGCTTCCATTTCAAAAAAAAATTTAGTTTAGTTTTTGAGATGTAGTCTCATTCTGTCAACCAGCTGGAGAGCAATGGCACTATTTCTGCTTATTGCAGTCTCTGCCTCCTGGGTTCAAGTGATCTTCCTACCTCTGCCTCTTGAGTAGCTGGAATTACAGGTGATTCTTGAGCCTCAGCCATCCAAGTAGCTGGGAATACAGGAGTGTGCCACCACGCTGGGCTAATTTTTTTGTATTTTTTGTAGAGACGGGGTTTCATCATGTTTCTTAGATTGGTTTCCTGAGCTCAAGGGATCTGCTCACCTTGACCTCCCAAAGTACTGGGATTAGAGGCATGAGCCACCATACCTGGACTATTAAGGAACCAATAATGATACATTATTATTATTATTTTGAGATGGAGTTTCACTCTTTCACCCAGGCTGGAGTGCATTGGGATGATGTTGGCTCACTCCAACCTCCACCTTCCAGATCCAAGCGATTCTCTTGCCTCAGCCTTGTGAGTAGCTGGGATTACAGGCACATGCCACCATTTCTGACTGATTTTTGTGTTTTTAGTAGAGATGGGGTTTCACCATGTTGGCCAGGCTGATCTCGAACTCCTGACCTCGTGAACCGCCCACCTCATTCTTCCAAAGTGCTGAGATTACAGGCATGAGCCACTGTGCCTGGCCCCATGATACATTATTATTATTATTATTATCTTTTTTAAAGACAAGGTTTCACCATGTTGGTCAGGCTGGTCTTGAACTCCCGACCTCAGGTGATCCGCCCGCCTTGGCCTCCAAAGTGCTTGGATTACAGGCGTGAGCCACCACGCCTGGCCCGTGATACATTATTATTAACAAAAGTCCATAGTTTATTCAGATTTCCTTTTTATCCTACGTCTCTTTTTAGTTCTAGTATTCCATCCAAGATAACACAGTACTTTTTTTAGTCATGTCTTCTTAGAATCCTCTTGGCTATGATAGTTTCTCATGCTTTCCTTGTTTTTGATGACCTTGACACTTTTGAGGAATACTGGTCAGGTTTTTTGTAGCATGTTACTCAATTGGGATTTGATGCTTATTTCATCATTAGACTGGCATTAGAGTACTTAGTATCAACATGATTGTCAATATTGATGTGACCTTGATCACTTCGCTGTCAGTTTGGTTTTTAAATATTTGCTTTTCTATAGCTAATATTAAAAATTTTTTTTTACTTGCAATATAAAAGTAAATGTTTGTTGATACTCTGCACATGTCTATCAGTAGCATTTATAATAAGTAATACATTGACAAGCCTAATAATACAGAAAGAGGATGGATGTTACAGTCAAGGAAAAATAATGGTGAAGTTGCCTGAAGTGCTAATTGTAGAAAGGAATTAAAGGCCTTAGTACTGTATAGCTTATTTTAACAGTCTTTAAGCTGTTTTAGGACTCTGCTCTAAGAGGAACATTCTGATAATCAAGAATTAGATCTAAATTCAAAGGCAGAAAAGGAATTATTCAATTATTCATAATGGGATGAAAATACAAATAGGATAGTTTAGATCAATTTGGTAAAATCTTCCGGCCTGGTGCGGTGGCTCATGCCTGTAATCCTAGCACTTTGGGAGGCCCAGGCAGGCAGATCACCTGAGGTCTGGAGTTCAAGACCAACCTGCCCAACATGGCAAAACTCCATCTCTACTAAAAATACAACTAGCAGGTTGTGGTGGGAGGTGCTTATAATTCCAGCTACTTGGGTGGCTGAGGCAGGAGAATCACTTGAATCTGGGAGGTGAAGGTTGCAGTGAGCTAAGATTGCACCGTTGCACTCCATCTGGTGCGACAAGAGCGAAACTTCATCTCAAAAAAAAAAAAAATTCCAGTTCAACAACAAATAATTAATGAGCCCAACTTTGTGCCAGGTATTCTGCCAGGTGCTAAGGATTGAGCAGTGAACAGAACGAAGTCCATGTCCTCATGGAAGTTATATTTTGGTAGACAGTGAGCTAATAAAAAAGATGATTTCAGGGTCGAGCATGGTGGCTCATGCCTGTAATCCCAGCACTTTGGGAGGCCAGTTGAATTCAGGGCATGTTTTCAGGGTAGAACCAACAGGATTTGCTGATGAGTTGTGGAAGGTGAGTGAAAGAAAGGAATCAAAGATGATTCCAAGGCTTTTAGCTAGAGTGACTGGTGCCATTTACAGAGATGGGAAACAGGAAGGAGCTAGTTTGAATGAAGTGTTTAGTTACATGTTTGCAGCTTGACATGACTACTGTACTAGATATCCAGGAATAGCCATTGAGTAGGCAGTTGGCTATTGGATTCTAAAGCCTAGAGTCAAGGTTAGGGTTGTGGATATACTTTTTCGATGTCATTGATAACAACATTCTTGGCATTTAAACACAAAGAACTGCCAGTCTAGGCAACATAGTGAGACCTTGTCTCTACAAAGAAAAAAAATTAGCTGGGTGTGGTGGTATGCCCATGGTCCCAGCTACTTGGGAAGCTGATGTGGGAAGATTACTTTAGCCTGGGTGGTCCAGGCTACAGTGAGTCATGATAATGCCATTGCACCCCAGTCTGGGTGTCAGATAGAGACCCTATCTCAAAAAAAACAAAACAAACTACAAACAGAAACATGTAACTGGTTAGGTCGGTTAGGTAGTATAGCAGAGGGCCAATAACTGAGCCCTGAGACTACTGACATCATGGAGGGGAATAGATTATAATATACTTAAATTTCTTTTGTATTGGTATCAGGACCAAACTGACTGAGCAACATGTAAATAGTATAACATTGAGTAGCTGGGTGCCATGGCCCATGCCTGCAATCCCAGCTCTTTGGGAGGCCAAGGCGGGTGGATCACGAGGTCAGGAGTTTAAGACCAGCCTGACCAACACTGTGAAACACCGTCTCTACTAAAAATACAAAAAATTAGCCAGGCATGGTGGTGCATGCCTGTAATCCCAGCTGCTCGGGAGGCTGAGGCAGGAGAATCGCTTGAACTCATGAGGCGGAGGTTGTGGTGAGCCAAGATCGCGCCATCGCACTCCAGCTTGGGGAACAAGAGCAAACCTCCATCTCCAAAAACAAACCAAAAAACAAAAACCCCATCTCTACTAAAAATACAAAAATTGCTGAAGGAATTAACAGACAGTTCAGAGTAAACAAACAAACAAAAAAATACAAAAATTAGCCGGGTGGCGTGGTGGGGTATGCCTGTAATCCCAGCTACTCTGGAGGCAGAGGCTGGAGAATCGCTTGAACCCGAGAGGGGAAGGTTGCAGTTAGCCGAGATCATGCCCTGCACTCCAGCCTGGGCAACAGAGCAGACTCTGTCTCAAAAAAAAGGAAAAACAAAACAAAAAACCCCTCCAAAAACCACTGAATAATGCCTTTATGATTATAATGATACTAGGCTCTTCCTGTTACTTGAATCCTCACGTTTTTATCACTTTTCTGCCTGAAGACTTTTACTTTTCTCTCCATTGTTTGAGGATATAACCCCAGATTTCTTAGCTTAGCATACCAGAGCCTTCATTGGCTGGCTAGACTCTACAGCATCTTGCTATTTTTTTTTTTTTTTAAAAAAACACAGAGCTTTATTGTTCTCAACACCAGCGGCAGCGGTCTCTGTAGGACAGGGGAGTGAGTTCTGTTGACTGACAGGGATAGGTGGCTCCTCCTTGCCGACGATGAGCGGGTTCTGCAGGACCACAATGACTGAGTCCCCACGCAGGAACATCTTGGAGATATAGCGGTCTTTGTTGACTGGCTTAGACTTCTTCTTGCCCTTGCCGCTCTTGGGTACCTCAGTCCACATCTCCTTCACGTTCTCCAGCACCATGTTGCAGTGCCTATCGAAGGCCTTCACGCGGCCCAGGAGTTTCTTATTGTTGCGGCAGTTGATAAGCACTTGGGTGTTGTTTTTGACGGACTGAGTGAGCACAGAGAGTGGACCCGTGTTAAATTCCTCCTCCTCTCGCTTCTGCAGCTCCTCTGGGGTCATCTCACTCTTGGGCTTGTTAAGGAGGCTCATGTTGGTCACTAAGCTCTCGGTTCATTCCGGTCATCTTGCTATTTTTTATATTTTCTCCTCTATCACTCCTACCATGCCCAATGTACGTGGCTCCTTTATAGCCCCCTGTTGGCCTGGAATACTCGGTCTCCTTCTGCTCATCCTCAAACTCCTACTCAGTCTTCAATATCCACCTTAAATTTGCAATGTAATTTTCCCCTATTTCGACTGATAAAATTGGCCCCTTCACTGCATGGTACTTCCTCAGTGCTGTTGGTTATACTTCAGTTTATAACAAAATAGAAAATCAGTTGGTATTTTGGCTTTTAAAGAAATTCATTTGTTTCTCCGGTGCTTGGCATGTGGTAGATGCTTAATAATGCATTGAGAAAGTTTAAAAGTTTTGCTTTGGCCAATGAGTAAATAATTAAAAACTAGATCTTATAATACACAATCATATGGATCATTAGCTGAAATTTTTAGGATCTTTTTATTATGTCAGTTGTTGGTTTTAATGATACTCATCGTGGCATAATTTAGCCAGTAAAGTTTAGTGAAATGATGTCAGGAGTCTTAGTTCAGAGACATATTAGGAATGTTTTAATATCTGGGGCTGAATAATGCTTATTCTTTGGAGGCACGCTATTATAATAGATTTTTTTCTTCACTTGGCCACTTTTCCACCCACCTTCTCAGTAGTTGGGAATTCTATTTTAACATTACACGTGTACTTTGAGCTCTTTGCTGGAGAAGGAACCTAATGTAGTTAAATCGAGTAGAATCAGCAGTACTCACCCCAGGAATGTCCTTTAAATTGTTGGACAGAAGGAGGCTTACTGGTGTGAATTGTAGGTGTGAAGATTTTTCAGCCTGTCAGTCCAAAGTAGGGTTGATTATTTTATCATTCAATCATAAGCATGTATTGAGCAACTGCCATATATGGGTATTGTATGAGGTACAGTTTGGGAACACACACAAAAGAAATAAAAGGCATGGTTCTCTGCACATGAGGCCTTGACAATTTAGTTGAGGAACTGAAACATAAGATTAGGAAGGAATTTAATCTTAAGCGATATATCAATATGTGCAGAGTACTGAAGTATAAATCAGAAACTGCATTTCTGAAGCCCATTATTATATTCTCAGGGTTATTTGCAGTCTTATGTCAGTTTTCAGCGTTTTAACCTGACTTGAAGTTCTGCATTTTCTCTTATCCTTTGACATTTCTAGTTTCAATAAGATATTGATTTAGCTCTTTGTTTAATATGATAAAAGCCGTATATAAGAAGAGTCCTCTGCAACCATGTTGCGTCCAAGCATTTTATTCTTTCATGTCTATAAAGAAAGTACATAGGCCCACACCTGTAATCCCAGCAGCTTGGGAGACCCAATGAAGGAGGTTTGCTTGAGGCCAGGAGTTTGAGACCAACCTGGGCAAGATAGTGAGGCTCTGTCTCTACAAAAACATAAAAATGAAAAATAAAGGCTGGGTGTGGTGGCTCATACCTGTAATCCCAGCACTTTGGGAGGCCAAGGCTGGTGGATCATGAGGTCAGGAGTTCAAGACCAGCCTGGCCAACATGGTGAAACCTCGTCTCGACTAAAATTACAAAAATTAGCTGGGCAGTGTTGATGTGTGCCTGTCATCCCAGCTACTCCGGAAGCTGCGGCAGGAGAATCGCTTGAACCTGGGAGGTGGAGGTTGCAGTGAGCCAAGATTGAGCCACTGCACTCTAGCCTAGGTGACAGAGCAAGACTCTGTCTCAAAAAAAAAAAAGAAAAAGAAAAAAGAAAATACATAATTTGAAAAGGTGGAATGTCATTTATCCTTTATAAGTGTGACAGAAGCACACTTTCATTTTTTTTCGCTATGTGTAGGTTGCTCCTTTGCATATTTTCTCTTTTCCACTCAGAGGGGTGGAGGGGAAAAGAAAACCTGGAGAACAAATTTTGTGTATGTATATGAATGTGAGTTAAAAAATATGTGTTTTTGTTAAAGGCAACCAGCTGAACAGAAAAGAAAAGAAGTACGTATTTTCATATTTGAATTATAAAAGTGGCTTGCTTTTGTGAAGGTAAATACATAAACACAAGGAAATAATTTCTTTTTTTTTTTTTTTTTTTTTTTGAGACGGTGTTTCACTCATGTTACCCAGGCTGGAGTGCAATGGCGCGATCTCGGCTCACCGCAACCTCCGCCTCCTGGGTTCAGGCAATTCTCCTGCCTCAGCCTCCTGAGTAGCTGGGATTACAGGCACGCACTACCATGCCCAGCTAATTTTTTTGTAGTTTTAGTAGAGACAGGGTTTTACCATGTTGACCAGGATGGTCTCGATCTCTTGACCTCGTGATCCACCCGCCTCGGCCTCCCAAAGTGCTGGAATTACAGGCTTGAGCCACCGCGCTCGGCCTGAAATTTGAATTTCATGTAATCTTTTTTTTGTTTGTTTGAGACCAGGTCTTGCTCTGTCACCCATGCTAGAGTGCAGTGGTACAATCTTGGCTCACCACAATCTCCGCCTCCTGGGTTCAAGTGATTGTCCTGGCTCAGCCTTGTGAGTAGCTGGGACTATAGGCATGCACCACCACCCGCACCCCCAACCCCTGACTAATTTTTTATTTATTTTTCGTAGACAGGGAGTTTCACTATGTTGGCCAGGTTGGTCTTGAACTCCTGACCTCAGATGATCTGCCTGCCTCTGCCTTCCAAAGTGCTGGAATTATAGGCGTGAGCCACCACATGCACCCTTTCATATAATTTCTACATGTCAAAAATTTTTATAACATTGATTTTTTACATATTTTAATGTTTGAAATTAAATGAATTTTTAAAATTTTTATTATTTTTTCTTTGTTTTGAACCATTAAAATATGTAAAAAATCATTCTTAGCTTGTGTGGCATATGAAAACAAATGGCAGAACATGGCCTTTGGGGCAATAGTTTATGGACTCCTGGTCACTTGCTGGGTGCCTCTGCCCCTACTGATTATCTTCTTCTCTCCCCGCCATGCTTTCTTTTCCTAGCATGGCTGATTTAGTCAAACCTCATCACAATGTTACAGTCTCCAGGTAGTCAGAATTTGTTTTAGATCCTCCTTTTTGGGGATGGAAGTTCTCTGTTCAGAGCTCTTTTATTTGAGACAGGGTCTTGCTCTGTTGCCCATGCTGGAGCGCCACCTTGACCCCTTGACTTCTGAGGCCCAAGCCATCTTCCTGCCTCAGCCTCCCATGTACCTGGGACTGTGTGTCACCCACCACCCCTGGCTAATTTCTTTTTTTTGTGAGACGGACTTTTGCTCTTGTTGCCAGTTTGGAGTGCAATGTGGCGCAAACTCGGCTCACCACAACCTCCATCTCTTGGGTTCAAGCGATTCTTTTGCCTCACCCTCCCAAGTAGCTGGGATTACAGGCATGTGCCACCATGCCTGGCTAATTTTGTATTTTTTAGTAGAGATGGGGTTTCTCCATGTTAGTCAGGCTGATCTTGAACTCCTGACCTCAGTTGATCACCCACCTTGGTCTCCAAAAGTGCCGGGATTACAGATGTGAGCCATTGTGCCCGGCAAGTTTTTAATTAATTAATTAATTATTATTTTTTGAGACGGAACCTTGCTCTGTTGCCCAGGCTGGAGTGCAATGGTGTGATCTTGGCTCACTGTAGCCTCCGCCTCCCAGGTTCAAGCAGTGCTTCCGCCTCAGCCTTCTGAGTAGCTGGGATTACAGGTGTGTGCCACTATGCCTGGCTAATTTTTTTTGTATTTTTAGTAGGGACAGGGTTTCACTGGTTGGTGAGGCTGGTCTCAAACTCCTGACCTCGTGATCTGCCTGGCTTGGGCTCCCAAAGTGCTGGGATTACAGGCGTGAGGCACTGTGCCTGGCTAATTTATTTTTTTAATAAAGATGAGGTCTCACTGTGTTACCCAGGCTGGTCTCGAACTCCTGGGCTCAAGTAATCCTCCCACCTTGGCCTCCCGAAGTGCTGTGGTGGCCTATAATCCCAGCACTTTGGGAGGCTGAGGCAGGTAGATCACCTGAGGTGATCCATGCCTGGAATAATTTTTAAAATTTTTGATAGAGATAGGTCCCACTGTGAGCTGTGATTGTGCCACTGTGCTCCAGCCTGAAAAAGAAGTGAAACGCTGTTTCAAACACACACACACACACACACACACACACACACACACACACACACACAGAAATAAAGAAGAATAAAAAGTTGTGGTCAGTGGTAACATTGTAGGTATCACATATTATTTGCTTATTTATTTTATAGGTTCTTTGTTAGAATGTAAAATTGTAGAGGTCAGGGATTTTGTCAGTTCTGGAACAGTGCCTGGCTTACCATAGTTTTGAGTAAATATTTGTTTATTGTTTCATTAATTGAATATGGAAACATTTCTTTTTTACGGCCTTAATGTTAACATTATAGTAATGCTTATTAACATTAAATTAAGGCCGGGCGCGGTGGCTCACGCCTGTAATCCCAGCACTTTGGGAGGCCAAGGTGGGTGGATCACGAGGTCAAGAGATCGAGACCATCCTGGTCAACATGGTGAAAGCCCGCCTCTACTAAAACTACAAAAAATCAGCTGGGCATGGTGGCGCGTGCCTGTAATCCCAGCTACTCAGGAGGCTGAGGCAGGAGAATTGCCTGAACCCGGGAAGCGGAGGTTGCGGTGAGCCGAGATCGCGCCATTGCACTCCAGCCTGGGTAACAAGAGCGAAACTCTGATTCAAAAAAAAAAAAAAAAACCATTAAATTAAAAGTTAAAAAGAAAATTTCTGCCGGGTGCGGTGGCTCATGCCTTTAATCTCAGCACTTTGGGAGGCTCAGGTGGGTGGATCTTGAGGTCAGGAGATCAAGAACATTCTAGCCAACATGGTGAAACCCCGTCTCTACTAAAAATACAAAAAAATTAGACAGGTGTGTCAGTGCATGCCTCTAGTCCCAGCTACTCTGGAGGCTGAGGCAGGAGAATTGCTTGAACCTGTGGGGCAGAGGTTGCAGTAAGCCGAGATCGTACCACTGCATTCCAGCCTGGTGAGAGAGTGAGACTCTTTCTCAAA